GGCGGGGGACATGGAGAACTTGGGTGGTAAACAGAAGATTTGCCTAGTAGGCTGCGCGCCTGGTTCTGTCCCAAGTCCCAAATGCTCTACGCGAATACAACTTACGGTCATTATTGCTGTATCTAGACTCGAAATAGCCCGAAATACAGCTATAATAACCGTATGTTGTATTTGGGTGAAGACGGTAGGGGTTAATCATGCTGAGGGATCTGGTACGGCTTGGAAGTTTCCTGAGCACAGCATGCATGCCCCTTTTATATCATTCTTGGACATACGGCCTGTAGCCAGCCTCGCAGTCCCTTCCTGAACAGGTGGCCAGTGCCGCAGGGGCATGGCGGTGCTTTGCTTGTCTTTTCGTATGCATCTATCCCATATTTGCAACCGCACGAGCCGCACATTCGTGCGGAGTTCCGTGCGGAGTTCCGTGGGGACGGTGCCTGTGCGGAATCGTGCAGGTTTTTTATTTTTATTATTATTATTTTATCTTTTTTGGGGAGGGGGGACGGGGGAGCGTATGACAGGAAGATGGGGATATGACGAGGAGAGGGGGATGTGGAGAGGAGGAGGAGGATGTGGACGAGGAGGACGGCGAGGATAGCGAGGACGGGGAGGAGGAGGAGTCGAGATGGGGGAGGACAAGAGACGGATGGAGAGAAAAGAGGAAGGGCAGGAGGAGGACGACGAGTGGGAGGAGGAGACATGGACGGCGAGGAAGGGGAGGACACGAGGAAGGGAAGGAGACGAGGAGGCATGGAAGATGAGGAAGTACGAGGAGGAGGAGGAGGAGACAAGGAGGATGAGGAAGGGCAGGAGGAGGAGAACGAACAGGAGGAGGGCAATTCAGAGGAGACGAAAAGGAGAAGGAAGGAGGAGACATGGAGGATGAGGAAGGGAAGGAGGAGCAAGGTGAGGCAGCACTCCTGTAATTTTTTTTTTCATCCCGCTTATAATTTTGGCGGGGGGTCTCAAATGCACCATTTCGACCCCGGCCTTCTTTTTTGTTTTTCTGAGGGGGGTGACGGGTCGTTCCCCGCACATGTCGTGCGCCGCATGGGATCGGTTGGGCGTGTGTGCCGCACGTCGGGAACCGCCCGCACGACGTGCACTTGCAAGTATGATCTATCCTGTTCTAAGTCTGGTCTCTCTTTCTTCTCGGTTCCCATCATAAACGTTTTCTTGTTGCACTGACACCCCCCCGGAACAGATGAGGCAAGAGTGGGTTGTGTTTTTTTTGGAAAAGAAAGAAAAAGCGAAAGAGGTCCAGGAGCCCCATGTCGCCTGTGAACCTGGCCTGGCGAGCCCCAGCATGCCACTTTAACTCCGTCTCTTTGCTGCTTGGCGTCTCTACTGTGTGCTTTTTTTTTCTTTTTTTTGTTGATAAAACCAGTGTTGCATACCCTGACAGTTGCCGCCCCTTGACTGGTCGGCTGGTCGGCTGGTCGGCTGGTCAGCACCTACAGGTCGGGGGTCGGTCCAGAACCCCCAATAACCACACCAACACCCCCATACCT